AAAGTTCAAAAGAACAGAATTTATTTGAAATAGAAATCTTTTGTAGCATTAAAAAATTCTTTACGGTCATTTTTAATCAATTTAATGCACCCTAAATAAATAAAAGTATTAATATTAATAAGAAATAATTATTTATTTTTTTAAATCTTAATGACCTCAAGCTTGTGAACAGTAGTTTGTTTTCATATATTAAATAGTGACACAAGTTTCATATTGGTAATATGGTAATGGTCAATATTGGATATATATCGGCCAATATTTTTACATTTAGATTACCTTTGCCATCATCTAATGCTGACTTAAATGCAATAGTTAAAATTCAGAATAATTCAACCTTAAAATAATCATCCATTTTTCACACTATAAATTATATGTTATATGTTAAATTATATTAATGTTGTGATTGTATTTTTAGAGTGTTTCACTCTCACCTTTTTATTCAAAATAGTACAGAATTATCAGCTTATCGGTATCTGCCACAATTTCAATATATCCCTAATAACTGATCCATTTAGCATTATACACTGTTTTAAGAATTTTAATGAGAGTTGTTTTAAAAGTTTCAATAACAAATGAAACAGGATATAAAAAATACAGAGCAGGCCTCTCATACTGACCAGGAAAGGGGGCGTAGGTGTCTAGCTGGCGAGCGCCCTCCTCCAGCAGGCTGAGGCAGAGAGAGAGGGTGGGCGAGTCATTCAGCAGGTGGAACGTCAGACTGTGTCCCGGGGGCTTATGGGCTGGCATTTGCTCTCCCTGAAGTTCCACCATTTCTTGCAGGAAGTCGGCTGGCTGCGGCTCATATTCTCTCAGAAGTTTGTGAAACACCTCTAGCACTGCCTCAGCTACCTCCCACTACAAAGAGTAAAATAAAATCAGTCAATAAAGATACACAACCATAAATGGAGGTGAGACTGAGATAAGACACATGTTTAAGTCTAACAGGCCACAGCAAACCTTTTCTGCTGGCCGCCGGTAGGCACGTGTGGGGAAGGCCAGAAACACAGAGTCACGCAGGAAGTCAAGATAA